CCCAACCGTATACGCTTTGGCAATTCCTTCATGAGATATACTTCCACGCACACCCTAGCGACCGAAGGCCTGGACATGTTAAGCGTTGGTACATCGATGATCGATCTTAAGGGGCTTTCAGACTAGACCTGCTTATTTCCATAAGTATTCTTCATTAAACCAATCCCATACCTTCAAATGAAACGCATACTGGAATAAAGGGAGATTCTTGCACCGGGTTAAAATTCGGAGTCCATTTCAAAACTAATGGAGACCATCAAGCTATGGAAGAACTAGAAGATGATCATGCTAAAGAGGAAGAACTTGTGAAGGTTGTGAATGTTAGTAATGAGCCAATTATGAACAATCCTTATATTAGAGATCCATTGACTAACATTGTTGGCCTAATCACTCGTTCAAGATCCAAGACTGTGAACACTCATCTTAACAATCTAGTTACGTCTACATGTCGTAATGAGATGGTTAAATGTGTTCGATACGAGCCCAAGATTGTTCATGTGTTGCAAGTACAATTAAATGGACTCATAGACCTAGATGGAGCACAACTCAAGGCCCGTTGAAGAGCCAAGAGCCCATTGACCGTGCGAGTGGAGATGCGTGCGCCTAAACCCTAGGTTAAGGGTTAAGGGAGCCAAGATTCTTTCCATTCCTACAATATAGGAAGGAGTTTCAGCCACCCTCTATTTTAATTATTTATTTTTGGCAAATAAATACTCTACAAGGAAGATATTGGTTTAGTGGAGCTCAAGAAAAGGAGATTACTTTGTCACCAAGCAATGGTGCAAGGAGTAAGCTTCTGTTTTGAGAATATCTCCTTAGTAATAGGAGTTTTAATTTCTTTTCACACTTAGATCTAATGTATTAGGTCTATGGAAGAGTCTAGGTTCGTTTTCTTAGTCATAAAGAAAACTAGGAGTCAAAGAGTCCAATTTGACTTTGAATTCGTGGAATTAGGGAAAGTGCCCTATTTTCTCTCTTGGAAATTCGGCCAACCACCCCTATAAAAAGGAGGGGTCGCACCTCAAGTTCTATGTACTGAGTTGAATTGATTTTGTGAGGTTTTAACCTTTCTGAGTTTTTGTTCTTGTGTAGAGGAAATAGTTTGGCTGTTGCTTTGAGTAATGATGATCTTTAAGACTTATCTTTCTTGTGTGGTTCGCTGGAAAGTGGCGTCTATAATAACATTGTCTTTTGATTTCGATACTTAAGGGCTATTAGATTAATATCTATTGGTTCTTCATGTAAGATTTTTGAAAGGGACCTTGCTGGAATTCAATAGTTCCACTCATCGTATTTAGTTGGGTTGTTGGTTCTTTTTGAACTCATAAATTGGTCCACGTGAGATCAAATATCATCCTAATCTGCGTCTCTGATATTCAAGTAAGTATTCGAGTTTATCATTATTCCGCTGCATATTCTATCCAATTCAATATTCGAAGTTGATTCTTGTTTAAGCATTGGTTTCGTTCTTGAGTTGCTATCATATTTTTGGTATTCAGAGCCATCTTTGGTGTATACCATCGTGGTTCTAAACTCGAATTGTGTGTCTTTCTTCTTGTTTTAATTTTTCGGATTTCTCTCTCCCAAAAGAGGAAGTCTTAGTCGATTTTTATTTTTTTTTTTGGAGTTGTTTACCACTTGGACAATTCATTTTTTGTATTCTTCATACTTATCTTCAAGATTCAAGTTGTTCATCATCACATATAGCCTTTTGGTCCATTGATTGGGTTGATTGGTGTTGATCTTGGTGGTTTGGATTGATTGATGTGAAGTTGTTGTTGTGTTATTGTTGTTGTGTGTCGCAGCTACCGTCCAAAGAAAAAGAAGGGGGCACGGGAAAACCCTAACCCTAGCCAGCCGAAAGGAAGAAAAAAACAAAGAAAGAAAAGAAAAGGAGAAAAAGAAAATTCGGAGAAGAGAAAAAATAAATAAATAAAGGAAAGTATCTTTATTGGAGAAATATTAGAAGGAAAGAAATATATTTATTAAGTGGTAGGAAACTTACCTTGATTAGATTTATTCTTTTCACATATTAAAAGGGTAATTTCCAAATTGTCTCCCTACATTACATATTCGGCCATACATAGCCAAATTTGACCAAATTACCCCTTAGGAGACTTAAGGAGAAAGTAATCTTTATTACTTAAGGATTAAGATAAGTATTATTTACATAGTAAAGACCCCGATTTTATCCCTGAAATTCTATATACAAAATCCTTAACTCTCTTGTATTTGTCTATCTTACGTGCTAAATTATTCTTCGTGCTATAGAATTGCTCTTTAAGTGGGTTTGCAAGTTCTATGTACTGAGTTGAATTGATTTTGTGAGGTTTTAACCTTTCTTAGTTTTTGTTCTTGTGTAGAGTAAATAGTTTGGTTGTTGCTTTGAGTAGTGATGATCTTTAAGACTTATCTTTCTTGTATGGTTCGATGGAAAGTGGCGTCTATAGTAACATTGTCTTTTGATTTCGATACTTAAGGGTTATAGATCAATATCTATTGGTTCTTCTTGTAAGATTTTTGAAAGGGACCTTGCTAGAATTCAATAGTTCCACTCATCGGATTGAGTTAGATTGTTGGTTCTTTTTGAACTCGTGAAGATCAAATATCATCCTAATCTGCGTCTCTGGTATTCAAGTAAGTATTCGAGTTTATCATCATTCCGCTGCATATTCTGTCCCATTCAATATTCAAAGTTGATTCTTGTTTAAGCATTGGTTTCGGTTCCGTTCTTGTGTTGCTATCAAAAACCCTCATAAGATGTTTATCAAATGTCCAGAATCCTTTCATCCAACAGTGCTGGAAATCTTCTTCAAGATCAAAACATATGAGAACATGCCGATGATCGATCATTCCCCAAGAAAAATTCCCCTTGAAACCAATTGTTTGGAACTCCTTCCATAAGTATTCCATCTTTGTCGAGCTTTTGAGAATTTGCCGACTGGAGCCAATTAGAAAGGGATGGCCAGTCGTTCATCTTCTTCCTTGGTGAGTAGAAACGTTGGTTCCCCTTTGAAGATCATAGGTTCAGACGTGATTATTGAAGCTTTTGGGTTTAGGGTTTCTATCGATTTGGTTATTATTCTTGGTTTAGGGAGGTTCCCAATATTTGTGCAAAAGATGGCTTCCGGGGATGATTGTTAGGATCATTAGCTTCCGGTGGCTGGCTAGTAGCCATGCCGGCGGCTTTAGGGATTGGAAAAACGTTAAAGAACCGTTGGAAAAATTTAGATAGATGTCAGAGAGAAGAATTTAGATATAGTGTATAAATTTTCAAATAAACATAAACAAATACCCCAAAAAATGACTTTAATAAATGTCGATTATTGAAAAGTGTTGAGCAATCAAAATGCATACTTCATTGTAGTGCAAGAAAATATGGAGAAAATTAATAAAATTAGACAACTTTATTCATATCTAAAAGGCACAAAACACGAAATCAATGATCTCATGCATTAATCCATCAAGTGCGCATAAATCATAGAATGGAAAGAAGAGTATGCAGCACATATGCTGTCTTGGTTCTTCGGAAAGTTTTTTTTAAAAAAAAAATGACGATCCAGCACAAATGCCCTCTTTATTTAATGGAAAAAATTCATGAAAGCAAGAGATGATGATGTAGCAATGCTGCTGCTATTATACTGTGTGAAAAGTTTATGATGAAAAATTTAAAAACACCATGGTCCGAAATGATGTCGCAATGCTATATCTCGGCGTTAAAGTCGATCCTCTTTTTCAAATCAAAGTACCTTAGATTAACTAGCGTATATAAAAGCCTATGGAGTTACACCTCAAAACCAATTTACTATGAGCAGAGTAGCCCTTAAAACTTATATATTGATAGGGTTAAATACTAGATGTACACGTATAAATTGAAAAATTGAAAACTACTTGAGCATGTTTCAAAAACTTCCATTTGTGACACCATAAACTTGCCAATGCCCACAAATTCTTGACTATTTAAGTGTGTACAATTCATCACTTTGATGGTACATTTGTACTTATCTTGGTTTAAATTTGTCTGCTTAAATGGTACATGGTACATGTGTAAAAATTAAACTAACCGCAAAAGAAATAAAAACTTTAAAAAGAAAATTAGAATATATATTTTGATATTATCAAAAGAAAATGTTAAATAAAAAGGAAAGAGACAATGGACCAAATGGCCTCATTGATCACAATACTACTTACACCAAACAAAAGTAAGAAAAAAAGGAAAAACGAAACTCAATATCTGATTATTGTCCAACTTTGGACATCGAACAAGATTTAAATATTGGAAGAAATTAGAATTTACAAAAAAAAAAAAAAAATCTGATTATTTTCCCCAAATTTTTGTCATATCCCTTTCCTTCTCCCCTGAAGTTTCTACCTTCAAGAAAAACCATGCTAGAACCACGAAATGAATCTGAATCCGAACAGAGTAACATATTTGATCCCTTCAAATCCATACATGATGAAAAGGGTTATCGGAGTTCAATCAATTCCGGTGCCAGAGCAAGAATTATGGCCAATTAGAATATTCATGGTGACGGTGGAGTTCACTTTAGGCTTCTGCGAAATTCTTTAGAAGATGCTGAAACGGGAAATTCATTCATCACCTCTTTGGCAGAGCAGCCCACCTCACCGGAGCAGCAGCCAATACCAACATTACAACAATTTCTGGCCATTATCTCCGACATCAAGAACACAAGCCATAGTCAGAGGACAGAGGGAACTCATGGAAATGGGGAAGGAGTATTTTGGTTTAGTAAAGGGACTTTCAAGTTCAAGTTATTGTAGTTTATAACAAAGATATATTTTCACGCGTAAATCTAGAGTTTATTATATGTATATATTCTCGAAAAGTTACAAAGACATCCTGTACATCTGGTGTGTCCTTTTCTTCTGCAACATTCTCCTGCTTTTAGAAGGAGATGCATAGATATAGAGAGGACACTATCCACACCATGATTTTTGGGAGAAACTGTGCGCATGCTGTGATCTCTGAAAGAAGACTTTTACTCCAGAGATGGAGGTGTCACTTTGCAAACTTCAACGTTGAAGCCACAATCCATCAGAAAAAGCAACCATGCACGCTGCTGTTCGGAAAGTCTATCCCTTGGACCTTTCACTTCTACAAGCTTAGCTTCACCCTTGTAATTATTATGGAAGCGCCATAGGAGTAGATCAGGCATCCCACTGGACCAGCTCCGATAATCTTGGGCCAAATGTCTGCAAATTGAAGCAATACATGCACCTCCAATGCACGTTACAGCAGCACGAAGCTCATCCAAGGAATGCCTCTCCCAATTCACTCCCCGACATAATGTGCCTAAATGTGATTCCCATGATAAAATAAGCATCTCTTCAGCCATACCATCCTTGACCTTTTCAAGAACTTCCTCAATTAGTTGCTTTCTTGATTCATAAAAGCAGTCCATGTCTAGATCTAGAGGAGCAGTCTGCAAATGATAGGGTGCATAATTGCAACAAAATTATTAGTCAATGTGAATTCATCTCTGTCCAAAAATAAAGTACTATTATGAAACTTTACAATATTTTACTCTAAGCAATGTTCATTACACTCTGGGTCTTGATTATGTATGAACCATACTAGACTTCTTTTCTTCCTTTTTTTTTTTGTCTTACTTGTCTTTACTTGTCTTATAAAATCATAGTCTTATAAAATCATTACACTCTGGGCCTTATAAAATCATAGTCTTCTTGTCTTACTTATCTTCTAAATGAGTATAATGTCTTACTTGTTATGTTTCACTCTTTTAGAAGTCTGATTGGTGATTTGATTTTTAAATCTCAGTTACTGCATTCCCTAACCCATTTCACTACAGGACAGGAATCCACTAACACTATCATTACTCATTTAAAATATGAGAACAAAATTATTTAAAGGTCAGATGACTTGGATAAAATATCAAAGGAAAAGATAATTACATTTTAAATACACTCAACTAACCTTAAAATGATAATTAAGTATGACTCACAAACATTAAAATTCTTGCAAGTTTCGATGAGGGGTCAATGCTCAGTATCATCCACTCTCCTACTTCTACCCCCTCCAACGTAAACATTGAGATAAAAATGAAGCACAAACATAATTTAGGGAAAGAAACTTTAAAACCATCCCAATGATCAATTAGGCCAAATAGCTAGAGCCAGAAGAGAAATTATGATCCATTGAGTAAAACAACAAAGACAGCCATTTTAAAGTTGTAGCAAAACAAAGATGAGCATCTGAAGAACAAAAGATCTAACTGGACAATACCTCCCTTGAAAACTTGTTGCACACAAACAAAACTTAAATCAAATCTGTATTACAATCTTGAACAAGATTACTTAAAACTTACTAAAAGTACCTGAAATTTTGTAAGAAAGGCATTTGGCACATCTGCGAAAATAACATCCCACATTAAGATCCCAAATATAGTCAACCAAATGCCACTCTCCGTGTGAACACCCTGCCATGCACCTCCTTCTCCACCATAATACTGCAGAGCAAGTTGTTCAACTCCACATTGTTCCCCATCCTCACCATAGAATATGCTCCTCATTCCTACTTTACAGGCCAAAGGTCTACCTACTACATGAACCTGATGAAATAGCAAAATGATAAAAAAACATCATGAAGGATAAGTACAGTTCCTTTTAATCAGAGTGTAACATAAATCCCAAGGGATAATAGACTAATTAGAATCAGACACCTAAACAATTACCTCAGTGATCTTCCTTCTAAGTGACTTTGAAAAACTAGGAGTTTTCCAGCGCCTCGGAGGTCTTCCAAGTCTTAGAACCCGTCTTTGTAGGCCCACTCTAGCACCAGAACGAACCCATTCATCCAGTAAGGCATCCTCAGCAACTTTAAGGCTTTCATCTATACGTCCAACGTGTTCCAGGTCAACTGATAGCCTCAGTGTCCAGTATCCTCGTCTTCTATCAAAAGGAAAATTGAGTAGAAGCCGCTTCAGTAAATCGATAGCATCATTGTACCTGTTAAACAGAAAAAAATGGGAATAAGGATTTAAGGAAAAGAGGAGGAAAATTCCAAGTCCCTAAATATTATCTGGAATATAAAACAGAAAGTATCAACCAAATGAAAAGTGGATGGTTGCATTAAAACCAACACGCTCATACAGACATAATCAATTACCAAGCATTGGGTTGATATCGTAGAAACCACTGTTTTCCTGATAGAAGGCCCAATCATACATTTAGTAATATCAAATCTGAGACAGCATGGGCTATAGACATGCCATACAATAAAAATTCACCCAACATTTTAGAAATATTATTTCATGGGTTACACAATCCCATGAAGAATCGTCATCGACAATTCTTTTAGTATTGTGCTAATGGACTAGATCAAAATGGCTCTACTAAATTTAGTGCCTCTATTAGCGAAGTTGCTGGAAATTGATACATCATACTACCTCTGTCCCACAAAAATAGTCCACATTGAGTTTTCAAATTTGTACTAAAAACAAGACAAAACTCAAAACTCAATGTGTACTAGTTTTGTGGGACAGAGGGAGTATGATGCAACATATCTTGAATTGCCACGAAACGGCCTTTGTAAATTACAAGGGTAAGGCTGTATACTCTTGACCCACAGACCCCTACTTGGTTGGGAACACAGTGGTTATGTTATGTTGATGTACATAATTGCATTTTATCCGTACAAGACCTGTAGACATTAAGATAAGTCTTGTTTATTTTTCAAGTCAGGGTCAAATAAATGGTTGAACTTGTAGAAAAAGAAGCTTCCATGTCACATCCTAGAGGTTGAAAAGCTACGATACAAAAGAACACATACTTTTCGCAAGCCCAAATTTACTAGAAACCAATACTGCTACAAATAAAACTCAGTCAGCTTTCAGTTCCTATAAAATTAGAAAAAATCCTCATTTTCAGCACAACTCAAGGTAGTATATGCTGATAAACTTAATAACACAATACCCACTCTAACCAGATGTTCAGGACTTCAAGTAATTAGCAAAGCCATTCGCCCCATCCACATATCATTGTCCAAGTAAACAACAAACTAAATGCAAGCATCTCAAACATGTTTTATGCTAAATCCCAAAATCTAATCCTTTGAGATGAAAATATTGGCCATAGAAGAACAATAATATAAACCTCCTCATTCTCAGTACTGCTCAAGGTGATATGTGCCCATAATCTTCACGATACCCAACCGACCAGATGTTCAAGTAATTATCAAATCCATTCGCCCCATCTACACAGTGTCCAAAGAAGTCACAAACTTAATGCAAGCATTTGATAAATGAGTTTTGCTAAAGCCCAAAGCCTAACTCTTCTTTAGTCAAAATAAGGCCCTTAGAAGAACAGGTCTAAAACCTCCTTATAGCTACGTCCATTCATAATCATGATCATTTATCTCAATCTCCAGTAGGGATAAATTTTGCTATTCTTTCAATATGAAACTGTCTATGTGAGCATGGAACATCTTATACGGCTGGGCTTATTGTTTGATTACCCACTTTTGTTTAATCAGAGCATATACCAGTAACAAATCAATTTTCTTATAAAAGCTAAAATTTCTTAGCTTTTACCTCCAAAATAATTCTTAGCTCTTACCTCCAAAATAGTTTTGATCAATGACACATCATTCCTTGTCAGTTTTCCTTGTAATTTTTCCCTGTACCTATCACCACTCATATATATATATATATATATATATATATATATATTAAATGAGGAAGCTATGGTTTTCTTCCATTTCCAAACATGTTTTCTAATCACTAACGTTTACAATCCCAAGGGACACATCAAAATAAACTACTAATTCATGGCACACAAAAGACCAGTATTTTATCCGTACCTCTGCTCATGCTCGAGAAAAGAAATCCCTAATAAGACCACCTTGGAGTAGACCCAGGATGCTGAAAAGCATGATAGAAATGTCTCCCTTGATTTTGAGGTTGATGATTGAACTGCTTTTAAAGAAGTGGAGATGCCGGAATCAGAAACCTCAATGCATCTCATAACCAACTCAGAATTGTTGATGTCAAGTGACTCATCCATAATTTGTGCAACTTCAATAGCCTGAAATAGAAAATACTTATTCCCTCCAATTCTTTTTAGGAAATGGAAAATGATGAAATGCAGCCTTCGGTTGCATGGCATACCTCCTCATAAGAAAGCAGGTCACTCCTATTAATAAATATATGGTCCGACTGTATGCAATTGTAATTTGGATACTTCATAATTCCTAAATCCACAAGCAAAAAGGAAGACAAATCCTGCTCCCCATTCAAGAAAAATAACCGCTGCAAAAAGCAAAATATTATACCACAATTGTAGAGAAAAATAAAGTAGGTGGAATTAAGATAACTTAAGATAAAAATGATGTACCTCAGCTCGCCATATAAGAGACTCGGCTAATGCAGATATTCTAATGCAGAACACAGTTTTGTGTAAAATTAATCTTAGGAGATTGGAACTGCATGGTCAACAAATAGCGGTGACACATGAAGGTGAACTATTATGAAGAATCCAAATTTAGATATGCTTCTTTACCAAGGGAAAAAACCCATCCTACCGTAGGCTTTTTTTGTGTGAAGACAGAAGTATACCAATTAAATCTTGCTTTTTCATACTCTGGATGCACTTTTTCTGCTTCTTTCTACCTGGCCAAGTGAAATTCTGCACAAATTTTTCAAGAAACCAGTAAGGGCAAACGACTAAGATCTTAAGCAAAAGAACAAAAAGAGAAATTGAAAAAGGAAAACACAGTATTTATAAAAAGTAGTATGTAATTTCATTAGTCATTTTGATTAGGTATACTACTGAAAATAAATAACCAAACTCAACAATGAAAATCTAACACTCACAATAATATAAAAAAAAGGGTACATACGTATACAGGTTCTTAGAAGCCGATGTTAATACAGGTTTAAGGATTTTAAAGAAACTAAACAGACATTTCGTTTCAAACACACCATGGCCAGCTCATACTGCAAAGTGGCAGTTCTAGCATCACCTCAGTAAAAATTAATCTGTTCTACACGATGGCATCAAACTTTTGTGTTTAATGGGCACAAAGTTTTCCAGTGAAGTAGAGATTCCTCTATTAAACAAAAAATGAACTTATTGTATATCACCAATATTTTTTATGATATTTATCTGAGGACTTTCTTGCAACTGTCTTGCAAATCTCCTTGTGAAGAGGTAAAAAACCGAACCAAAAAAACACATTAACAAACAATAATAAGCACATACACAAAACTAAACCCCTCAAACCTGCAAGAAGATTATAGTAAAAACACACAGGTGAAAAAGTCTCATTGGGTAAAAACACGGGTCAACCAAGTGGAGCCCCAGTGTCAGATTTACAGATTACAGAAAGTCTCGTCTTTCCAAGAGATGTACCACACGGGTGAAGAGAAGTTTAGGTTTCCTATCAAATTAGACAAATGTCAAAGCAAAACTATAAACTACTCCTGAAAGATAAACTTCCACAGTGACGAGTTATTTATGGCCCGTATCTGTCCACACAGATACTCTTTTTCTGTGTAGTCATCAGAAGCCAGTTTAATTTGGGAGCACAAACTATGGAACCATGCACTTCAGAAAGATCCATCCATGATGCTCCATGTAGTCACCAAAATGTTCCATTGCTACAGCCAGGTATTTCAGCTAGAATCAAGTAATACGAAATGAACGAATTGTGATACAAAGATATATTGTAGTTAGACTCAAGTAACAGAAAACGGGTGGTTCGTGATACAAAGATTTTGCTCGCATTCACTTCATCCTTTTGTATACTCCAATGAATGATAAATTAACCCAAAACTTTTGCTGCAGTTAATCTTTTCTTCCTAGTCCCATCAAGCATATCAAAATGAAGTATTAAGCAATTGTTTTCTTATAAAAGCATCATACAACTATAGGCATAATTCAGTGTAAACAAAAGAAAAAGGATCAGGTTATTGATCTTAACCAAATGCCCAGGAAACATCAGCTACATGCTTGAAATATTTCCATCACGCAGATTGAAATAAACAAGTACCAATCCGATATTTCTTACAAACCATTAATGGTCATGCAATTTCTACACTATGTACTGAAACAAAGACAGGCAAGCCTTATCCAGCCCAAAGTTTTGAAACTTACCAAAGAATTAGGTTCAATATCGGCAACCACCAGCATAACAAGTAAAGACCTTTGAACAAGATAAAACAAAAGATAAAAACTATAATGTTACTTGCATAGCAGTGCTTGACAGTAACATGATTGTAATTTGCCAGCATCAAATATATCACCATTTCAAAAAAACTAAAGTATTGTTTCTATGTGCATAAGGAAACACTAGAACCTGAAAGATTTCTACAAGTTATCTTCTACAGTAACTGGTGCATGACAAATATAATCCCCATCCGAAAGAAAATAGAGTCACAGGTAATCAATCAAAATGTTTTACCTTTTTCATGAGAATACTAGCTATCTCGCGCAGCTCAGCAATTTTAAGCACATTTATTATCTCCTCTAAGTCATCATCTTGAAAGTCCACTTCTGAGTTAAGGGAACAAATGTAGCCTGCAACTGCATTATGTTAAAACAGAAAACTTAATTGAGATAAATTCTAAAAACAAAAGTCCATATGTCAGTGAATTTACAGAAACTTGTCTACCAGAGAGTTCTTTAACAGCCCCTTCCAAGTCAAGTATCTCTGGGTATGAGAGAGAAGACATCCGATACCAAGGCCCTAAAGGAGGAAATACCATCACCAAGTCATTCACTCCACACACTTACAAAACAGCTTCTTGTTGTGTCAGCTAAAGCTACAAGAACACTTGAATAACTAGGAGATACTTTTCAATAGAAAATGGAAAAGTCAATATAAGAAAGACCTTTCCGTGTATAAAGGCGTGCAAACAAACTTTGACTGTCATCTGAAAGCAATGTCAACCTTTCTGTTCACCAAGAAAAAATAATAAATAAATAAAAAGACTACACGAAAAGTAGAAGAAAAAGGATGTTATTCTATATATATATATATATATATATATATATATATATATATAAGCTACCAAGAGGTTCCCAACTATAACAATAGTAGGTGCTTAATAAGTACCTAGGAACGTCTTTTCATCATCGGTTAGAATATGGGAGTAGGTCTTTAGAACCTCCTTTATCAACAGGGCAAGGTTTTGTTGATATCTTGTCAGGCCAGAAAAACCAGCCTTTTCAGAGTGAACAACATGCATGGCATGTTTCTGCAGGGACTTGAAAAGATTCAGAGCTTCACAGCTCTCTTTAATCTGAAGTAAATGGTTTCGACAAACTATTTGGACAGGAGCAGCACCAAGTGGATGCTTTGGAATTGAAGTCACATGTGCCTAGAGAATATTAGAAAATATATAATTAAAATAGCAGAATGGAAGATAGACATGCAAGTATATGTCCTAAAATTTTTTAAGTTACTCATCATGTTATTTTTGTCACCTTTCCCTAATTCACCTACATCCCATCTAAATGCATAATGTAAACAGTAGAAACCATCAAGTTATATCAGTTTTCTATTTAAATTGAACATAAGCAAAACCAAGACACTGAAAATAACAACAATAATAAATTAAAAGATACAGAAAATCCAAGAGCAGCAATCAAATACGATCATTTGCATTCAATTAGGTTACAAGATATATTAAAAGTAGAAATTCGGAACCATATGAAGACAGTGACACAGAAGTTTGACATTTCGTCCTACAATTATTTTCCATTTTATAACTAAATTAAATACCTCAAAAGACAAGTTGAATTTGTCCATCAAAGGAGAGAGATATTGAGCCAACTCACGGGGTAGAAAGCCCACCACTTTGCAAAGCTCTCCATCTGCAGAAAGAACCTACCTAAAATGGTCATTAATGCGTCCTGCTGAAGGCCCAAAGAAAAAGAAAAATAGACCAAAAGCATAAGTATGAAAACCTTTATAGCATTTGCATCCTTAACATTCTCTGGGTCTCTAGAAAGGAATAACTTTGTCTCCGTTTGTAACTCCATTTGATCAGCAAATTTTCTGCCAACAATAAATGTTTGAAGGAGAATCTCTGATGGCATATCATCACCATGGCCATCCCCCACATCAAGCTCTGAAATCACTCCATGAGGCAGTGAAGGAAAAGCAACCTGATTGTTGATCTCCTCATCATCAGCTAATTTTCTGCTCCCAGTAAAAACAGATTTATAACTTAATTCAGCTTTATCCCCGCTATTTTCTCGGAAAACATTGGTGTCATTGTCATAGAGTTCAGGATCAGCATTGAAATCGATTCTGTCGATGCAACTGCTGTCAACAATATCAGCTATTCCTCCACCGTCTGACTCAATCGGCGGAACTTGGACCTTAGGTCGTGAACAGAAATTTAACTGAAATAAGGTTTGTTGGCTTAATTTTCGCTTCCTCCCTCCAGCCAGGCATGCATCTGAAAACCAGATGCTGGAATCAAAATCAAAAGAATCCTTCTTCCTAGTAGTAAGTTTCATACAAAAAAGAAAGATTGAGAACAGCTGTAAAAACCCAACATAACATATCAAAGCCCTTGCAATAGTACAGTTTGTCAACTGCGATGAACTTCATTATACATCACCAAATAGCCAACATTTAAATTTACGGAGGGAAGAATCAAAGTATAACATCATAGGGGAGGTAAAAACAATATTGATATCGTCATTTACTTTGTCAACACTAAAGCAAACACTCCCACAGCACGAAGTTTGAGTTCCAAACAAAATGAATGAGATTAAGAATACCTAAATGGGAGTTGATTACAGCGTCGTCGCTACGAATTTTTACCCCACAAATGGGGCAATTAACCCGCTGAAAATCACCATTTTCAACTCGATTCACGTCAGGTTGCTGATGATGAGCTTCGCAAACTTCTGCATCCGGTTTTTCCTTCAAGGAATCCAATGACCTCTGGAGTTGAGAGAAAAAAAAAAAGAAAAAGAAATGACAACCCAATTCAATTAGTGAACGAACGCTTTTTCGAAATTAAACGATTTATTGTCGGATTTGAAATTTGGAGCTGTACCTGAGGTAGAGGGGAGGACAGGATGGATTCACGATTGGGGAGAAAGCGACGTCGCTTACCAATTAAGCGCTTCACGCTTTCTCGGCCTTTCAGCATCGAGAATTCGATCGTACGGAATCAGGGAATCTCCGAGGAGGAAGGAGGAGGAGGAGGAGGAAACCACTGTGTGTCTGCGTGTTTTTCTTTTTCCCCCAAACTAGATGTTAAACCCCGCGCATAGTTCATTCCTTCACATTTATAAAAAATAAATAAATAAATAAATCTATCTATCTATCTATCTATGGGTGCTTTGGCTAAAAAATGGGGTAGAAAAAGGAGTAGAGAGATCTATAATTTTTTTTTTTTTGGTAAAGAAAAATGTCGAGATCGGATTCTCAAAATCCGACCTACTAATTAAATTAGTAGTTCGGATTTTAAGAATCCGATTTAATAAAATAACAATTTTTATTTCCGGAAAATATATATGAGAAAAATGTATTGAAAGTCAAATAAAGAACAGTCAAAGGTCGGATTTTAGGAATCCGACCTTGTTTATTTTCATAAAAATACAGGCGGGAGATTTGAAAATTAAGAACAAGACAACATCGGATTTACAAAATCCGATCTTATTTAAGCATACCTAACAGTAGGTATCGGCATTGAATGTACGTTATTAGCTGGCAGAAGATCGGATTCTTGAAATCCGGCCTTACATGTAAATCGGATTTTCTAAATCCGATTTTATAAGTAAAATCGGATTTTAGAAATCCGACTTTATTGTGTTATAATGGGGCGACGGAAAACACTTGTTCACATATCGGGATTTTTGGTAAAGTAGGCTATTTCTTGAAGGAGGAGGTGATTTTAGTGGCGATTTGAAGATTTTGTTCACGATTCTTCGCAACGGATGTCTTAAAACCATTTCATAAGAAGGTTAGTTAATGTTTTGATATATTTAGAATTATTTTTGTTATTTTCTGTGTAAAAGTTTAGAACTAGGATGATTTATAAGGTTTTAGGGTTGATGTTGGGTGTAGTTGATGATTGTTGTTGTATACGTGGTATTGAACGTTCAATTTAGTAAAATACTTGAATTTGGCCTAAACTTTTGAATTTGTAGGGGGTTTAGTAAATTTAGTGTTGATTATGCCTTGTTTGTGGTAATTGTTATAATAAGTTGTTTGATAATGCCTTGTTTGTGTCATTTTTTTTAATAATTTGTTCATGATGTGTTGTAATTCATGTAATTAATGTCTATTGGTCGAGCAAATTTGTAGTGAAGAATGGGATTGTGAATAGTTTTAACAACATGCCGGACGATTCCTTTGTGATTGATCATAAGTTATTGTACAATGATTTGGTTGGACTGATTTGTGAAAGAGTGGGGTGGAATAGAAAGAATGTGAATTTGAGTCTATCGATTTTGTATGATACGATGCGCAATGGTTTTAGGCGTATCGCCAAAATCAAGGACGACGCATCGTTGCAAGTGTTGTATTTCCTCCCAAGTTCGACATATATTGATTTGTATGTAGATTTGGAGGTGGCGGGTACTTCTAGGTCCCATTTGGAAGTAGGGACAAGTAGTGGTAGGCCGAATGTGGAGAATGTCGATTACATGGAAGATGATGATGTGGGTGGACCGTTTATGGAAGATGGCGATCACATGGAATATGATCACGGTGAAGATGATGAGGACTACACATCGATAAGTGATCAAAGCGATGAAAACCAATCAATATCCGAAGGAAGTCGGGAGAGTGATGAAGAGGTCGAAGACCAATTCGCCACAAAGGATAGGCACATATATCGTTCACAGGGTACGTGGGATCATACAAAAGTGGACAAGGATGATTTTCAACTTACCATGTGGAATGGGACAACCACAACAATTGGGATAGGGACTTGTTTCAAGAATAAGGAAGAAGCAAAAAATGGTATTGCAGCGTGGAACATAGAGCAAAAGAGAGAGTTTTATGTGAAGGAAAGTGATGGTTCAACATGGTCTATTTGGTGCAAATCCCTAAAAGAGTCAACCCCTAAGGGATATGTTCCTTGCCGTTGGAAGGTACGTGCCTCCTTGAGAGACCACGGTTTGTGGGAGATTGTGAAATGGGTGCCCGAGCACAATTGTATGAATGTCACCGAAGATAACAATAATCGGAATGTGAGCACAACGCTTATTGCGCATCTCATAAGGCATAAGGTTGAGTTGGACCCAGATTATGAAGTGAAGCTAGTTCAGGAAGAAGTGAAAGACCGTATGCATGTCGATGTTCCTTACCACAGGGCATGGGAGGGAAGGAGAAGAGCTATCGATCTTGTTTACGGCGACTGGGTTTCCAATTTTGACATACTTCCAAGGTATTTACTTAAGTCCTATCTAATTTTTTTGATTTGTTTGTAATTTAGGAATAAAATAAGGATTAATTTTTTTTATTTTAATTTAGATTTTTCGCCGCCCTAGAGAAGAGCAACCCCGACAGTTGTAGAGTGGGAATGGCAACCGGTTGGACCGATATAGAGAGGACGTTCAAATACATTTTTTGGGCATTCAAGCCTGCAATTGATTGTTTTGCTAAATGTCCTCTGGTGATTAGTATCGACGGGACGCACTTGCGCGACGATACAAAGGTAAATTACTTGCTGCAATGGTCAAAACTGCGAATAAGCGCATCCTGCCAATTGCATATGCGATCGTGGATGAAGAGAGTGAGGAAAGTTGGTCATTCTTCTTGAAGCATTTGAGGAATCATGTTATATCCGACCGGCCTGTGTGTGTTATATCTGATCGGTACAAGGGTATCATCAGTGCAATACGCCTAATGCCCGAATGGAATGCATACCACCGGTTTTGCCTTCGTCACGTCCGTAGTAACTTGGTGGCGCAGTTTTGAAGTAAAAAGATCAAAAGGTTGTGTTGGGAGATGGGCACGAAACTTTCTAAGTCTAAATTCAAAGAACTAAGGAATGAGCTACGTGATTTTAGCAATGATGCTTATTTGTATCTCGAGGAGATTGATGCTTGTCAGTGGACTCTTGCCAAAGACAAACACTATCGTTGGGGTAACCAGACAACGAACATTTCTGAGAGCTACAACAACGTCCTCAAGGGCGTTCGTTTCTTGCCAATCCGGGCTTTGGAAGCTACTTTTATTAAGACTGTGGATTTGTTCTAGGAAGAATACGTGAAGTCGAGGAAATGTATTCCCCTCCCCGGCGATTTCCCTTTTGTTCGATTCTCTTCCCCGGCGATTTCTCAGGTAATTTGTCCATTTTTTTCATTTTGATTTAGGTAATGTGTGTGTGTGTTGCCGGGTGTGTGTGTGTGTGTGTTGCCGGCGATGTGTGTGTGTGGGTGTTGCCGGCAATGTGTGAATGTGTGTGTCTGACTGTGTGAATGTGTGTGTGACTGTGTGTGTATGTGTGTTGCCGGCACTCTGTGTGTGCCGGCACTGTGTATGTGTGTGTGTGTTGCCGGCACTCTGTGTGTGCCGGCACTGTGTGTGTGTGTGTGTGTTTCCGGCACTCTGTGTGTGCCGGCACTGTGTGTGTGTGTGTGTGTGTTGCCGGCACTCTGTGTGTGCCGGCACTGTGTGTGTGTGTGACTGTGTGAATGTGTGTGACTGTGTGAATGTGTGTGTGTGTTGCCGGCACTCTGTGTGTGCCGGCACTGTGTGTGTGTGTGTTGATATTGGTATTGGTGTGTGTGTATTGATATGGGTATTGATATTGGTATTGGTATTGGTATTGATAGTATTTGGTATTATAGGATTAAAATATGGAGGGTTCGAGTTCCTCACAACCCACACTGCAACATTTTAATCCGGCTCCAATAGATGACTCATTATTATACCTATATGACCATCATAGGGCGAAAGCCATTTTCGAGAACCATGAGGCTTTTAGTAAAGCCTTTAAAGGCAGGAGATTTGATAGTCATTTTTGGACTTGTATAGAGAAACCATCCCGGCATTGCCCTCCACAAGTCATAGATGAGATAAGGCGGGCAGGCTTTGGGGGGGTGATCCAACTAGGTTATATACAAGCGGACAATTGTTTGATCACTGCAATGGTTGAGAGGTGGAGGCCTGAAACTCATACATTTCATTTTCATTTTGGCGAGGCCACTATCACTCTAGAAGACGTTGAGGTGTTATTTAGGGTTAAAAGTGGATGGTAAGCCTGTGGAGGGGATGACACCTGAGAATTCTATGGCACAGTGGATGGCATTGTGCTTTAGATTGTTGGGAATTACACCCGTTAGTGACATGTTTGATGGGAATAAGATTTATGCAGAGTGTTTAATCAACGAGTGTCTGCGTCCGATCCCAGAAAATGCCCCAATAGAAGCCTATACACAGAGGGCCCGTGCATTACTGTTACTACTGATTGGAGGTTTCTTGATTCCCGACAATACGGAAACAGAATACCACTTTGGATCCCGACAATACTCGAGGATTTGGATTTACGTGCTACCTACGGTTGGGGTCATTGTTTTAGCTAAGTTGTACTTTGCTCGTGTCAAGCTTCCGCGCCGGGAAAAAGACATTACCGGATGTTATATGCTGATGCAGGTGAATTTTTGTGTTTCTTTGTTTATTTATATTTTTTTATTATATTTTTGTTTGTTTTCCTAATTTGTGCCTTTTCTATTTGATTTAAAATTTCAGTTATGGGTTTGGGAGCGTATCCCAAGACTTCAACCAAAGAGGAAGGTTAAAGATGAGAGTTACTTGGTGCCGGACGCACCATTAGGCAATAGGTAATGATTTATTTTATTATTTTTTATTTCCTATTATGTTAAAATCCAATGATTTATTTTATTATTTTTTATTTCCTATTATGTTAAAATCCAATGATTTATTTTATTATTTTTTATTTCCTATTATGTTAAAATCCAATGATTTATTTTATTATTTTTTATTTCCGATTATGTTAAAATCCAATGATTTATTTTATTATTTTTTATTTCCTATTATGTTAAAATCCAATGATTTATTTTATTATTTCCTATTATGTTAAAATCCAATGATTTATTTTATTATTTTTTATTTCCTATTATGTCTCAATCGTAGGTGGAAATGCCCAAAATCCAAAGCGAACATCGCCGCTCA